AAATACAACTGATTCAATCGGTTCTTGCATCTTATATATATATTCATATCTTTAAGTTTGTCTTTCTTTAATTTTATATTAAAAAATAGTAATTTTTTAATGAATGCATTATTCAAAATGTTAAATCAAAATGTATACTAATTGGTGTCTATATTTATTACTAAATCATTCGCAGCGCACTTTTTAAAAGAAAAAAATAAATAAAAAAGAAGTGATTCCTAGATTCTACTTGTTTTGCTCTGATTGACAGTTCTGATGGACTGATTAAAAATCAAAGAATAGAATCAGCTTCAAAGTAGATTTTCTGGCATCGTAATGTTTGTAGAATTATGCACGGTAGAGATTGTTGTTCCCACTTAAGGGTCGACCTAAATTTTCTGGGACCATACTATCTACAGTGTTATTCCCTCGCATGTCCCAAAACACCACATCATATCTTTGGTATTCCTTATTCAAACTATTGAAAGGAATAGTATCTTAATCAAACTATGAATTAAAAATAAGGAAGCTTCTCTAAGAAATTGGGAATATGTATTTTTTATTAATTATTTCTACTAAATTAAAAGATGATTGATGGATATCTTTATCTTAATTGGGGAGGTGGGGGATACAAAATTCCAGGACAAAACCTTGGACAGGAAGTTATTTGACCTGGTGCAAGCACACACTCATTTCAGCGGATCAAGTGCAAGGGGGAATGGCGGGGTATCTCACTATATGACTGAATGCAGCAGCCGGAGTTAAGCAGAAGCTGCTTTGCGAAGGGAGTTAGAAGGTATTGATATTAAAAGGGTAGCTACTGGATGGGAGAAACAGTAAAAGCCTTATTAAAAATTCTGTACCAGACGATATTGAATGTATATGTGGGTTGGGTACTCCTTCCATCCTAGAATAAAAATATTTCTTTGCAGTTAAAAATAAATCCTAAATCATATCATAATTTCATTATTTTTTTATATTTTTTATTTTGAATTGTACAGCAATATTCTCACATCCCACCTATATGTACCTATAACTTGAAGGTAAAATGTCTTACTCTACTTGAGGAGAGACTAGTATTACAATAAGTTAGGAGTATTTGGATTAATTGTTCAAATACAATTAATAACTTATATGTATTTCAAACACTATAATTCAAATATATTTTACCATAAAAAAACACTATAATTCATTTGATTAAAATTAATAACTAATAACTATTTTTGAAAAGCTAAAATATATAAACACTTGAATAAAAAGACAAATCATCTTGAATTCCTTTATTCTTACATGCTACATAACTCACACCTAAGTCATTCTTCTATAGAAATGATTATTCCCACTAGGTCATTCACCACAAATGTTACAAATGGAGATGTTACTTCTTAAAAGTTAATCAAAGAATAGAATCAGTTCCAAATTAAAGTAAATTCTTTAGCATCGTAATGTTTGTGGAATTATTTACGTAATTTTCTGACACCACAGATACTCTCTACAAGGCATTACTCCCTCCTTTGTCTGAAAACACGACATCACATAGTTTGGTTAGAATTAATGGTTATTCTTTAATTAAATTATTAGAAGTGATAATTCTTTAATCAAACTATTAAAAGTAATAATTTTTTAATCAAACTATAGAATAAAATAAAATATATAAGTTTTTATAAGAATTAAAAATTTATATTTCTTACCATTATTTTTACCAATTTAAAATAAGAGATGATTAATGAATACCAAGATATGAAAAGCACCTTTATGTGTCATGTCATCACATTATGTCCGCAAAAACATTAAATTTTAATACGTAATGTGAACAGATTCCACACACGTCAGGCTATCAATAAATTAACACTTTTGAGTTGAATTTCACAAAATATTATGTTTTATGACATCGTCAGTTATATTTAGGTTAATTTAGTTTAGTTTAAAATATGTAAATTAATTTATTTTAGTATAAAACTAGTTTTTGTTTTGCTCCGTGCGTTTGCACGGGTTTTTTATTTTTATTTTTATATTAGAGTTTAGCTTTTATTATTATTTTTTATTAATTCTTGAGTTTTATAATAATTTTTAATTAAAAAATTTTAATTAAGTAATTAAAGTTGAGTTAAAAATTGTGTTTAATAATTAATAAGAGTATTTTTTTAAAAAAATTATGTATATAATCACATTAAAAAAATATATTAAAAGAATTTTAAAAAACACTCAATATTAATT